AATAACTTAATACTACACACACACACACACACACACACACACACACACACACACACACACACACACACACACACACACACACACACACAGAAACAAAGCATTCGAATGGTAATTAATGAAATTTTTTTTCTACAAAAGTTATTAAAATTATTTTCCATGAAATAAGTGTTATTTCAGTTATACGTGGAATACGTATAACATTTACTTCATTACAATGTTATTACATTTGTAAATAAATGAAATTAATTTTTACAGTATATATATTTGCGGTAATACTGTATTGATATTTATGTTTTATTACTGTAATATAGTTTTGATGAATTTTATTTTATCATTTTTATTGATAAGGATTAGATATGCGTGTAAACTGCTCACTCTTGCAAATGTAAAAATGGATTATTTTTGACCTTAAGCTCATTAATTTTTAATTAAATTCGATGACTATTCAAAGATTATAGATCAAATTTGTTAATGTAATGTTAGCATTACTGTATTATTGCATGTTCTTCACAATTATGTAAAATACGCAAAAGTATGAATATTACGGTATCGTTGATGAATATTATCAGCAATAATTGTCATTCAGATTACATTCTAATTCCATAATTATTTCGTTAAGTAATACAGCACTTAACATGTATGGTTATCTATTAACTCTACTGTCCATTCCTGATCCCGCAATTATTCCGTTAAACGGTATAACACTTGAAGTACATGATTATCGTATAACTCTACTTCTTGTTCAAAATCGAATTCCTAATCAATTTCATTACTACAGAAAAATAAAACGAAACGAGATATGATAATTGATATAATTAATAACACTGATTCAAACATATAAATCAAACAAATTAAAATAAAAATTGTTAAAATTAAAAATTACCCATCCAAAAAAAAGAATAAAATGTAAAAAATAATATTTTCATTCCGACAAGAAAGTGAATCGAATTTGCTTCCATTCCGACATGTCAATGAATCGGATTTGCTTCCGTTCCGGCATGTAAATGAATCGGATTTGCTACCGTTGCGACAAGTAAGCGAATCGAATTTGCTACCGTTGCGACAAGTAAGCGAATCGAATTTACTACCGTTCCAACAAGTAAATGAATCGAATTTGCTTCCGTTTCGACAAGTAAATGAATCGAATTTTCTTCCGTTCCGACAAGTAAATAAATCGAATTTGCTTCCGTTCCGACAAGTAAATGAATCGAATCTGCTACCGCTGCGACAAGTAAGCGCCTATCGTCCTTATTTTTTTTTTTTGCATCTTTTTGCGCACATTTATTTCCGCCAATGTCTTACTCTTTTTCTTTCTTTTTCAATTTACATCATCTCTCGATATATACATATATATATATTCGTTTTGTAACGCTCAATTTAATCAATCCAATCTTTGAGGAAATTACTCCCGGGATTTGAGCGCTTAAGAAGTGACCTTTCCGCTTAAAAAAAAAAAGGCTTTTCTATTTCATTCATTCTTCCATGCTATCTACATAGACAACCATAAATATGCATTTCAAACTGTCAACGATGATAACTTACTTATATTAAAATTTAATATAATTTTATAAATTTCCCTTTTCCTAGCTTAAAAAAAAAAAGTTTCCATTTTTTATTTAAAAATTTTCCTTTCGAATTTTTTACTTCAAAGTTTTTTTTGGCATTTTTTTTTGCTTTCAATTAATTTAATGATTAAAATTAATTTAGTAATTAATTTAATAATTTCACAATTTAGTAATTGTTAAAGGAGAAAATTTTACTTACCATTAAATTTTATTTTAACATTTCTAACATTAATTTAATCATTCATTAGCACCTAAATTACACGCTGAATAGGTAAAATTTTACCTAAGAATTAAATGTAAAATAGCGGCAAAAATTTTTTTAATAAAAAGTAAAAATTTTTTTCTGAAGAAATTTTTAAATGATAGAAGGAAAAAATGATAAAAAGAAAAATTGAAAATTTACATGAATTTGTTTGTAAACGAAATGGACGAAAAGTTTTTTTTATAAAATTTTAATTTTGAAAAGTTAATTCGCTTGATTTTTTTTTCCAGTTTGCCTTATTTCTCGCAAATTTTGGAAAAAAAAAAATTTAATTCTTTTGGATGAAGCAAGGAGAAAAAAGGCTCAGAAGTAGTTTGCAATTCTCATAATTATTCCGCCGATCTACTGGTTGAAATCAAATTACCGCTGAGAGAATTTTCAACAAACTTCAAATTTTCCAACTACACATGCGACAATTAACTTACCATATCACACTGGTATATGAGATTTGAAGTTTTAACAAGACGAAATGTGAAACATTATCACCTGTATTATCAACATGCAATGAACAAATTGTTAATGTAATTAAATTGCTGATAAAATTAAATTACTAACTTAATTCACACATTCAACAATTATCATATTGATTAATGATTATTTCAAGAAATCAATCAACATTTGATATCTTAAATTTCCATTCAATTTCAATTTAAAAAATACTTTGCTATGACAAAATTGGAAACAAAAAAGAAAATTAAAAATCTTCTCAGATATTAAATATATTTTGATAATTTATGATAAACACGATTAAATCATTATGCTTTGATTAATTCATTTCATTTAATTTCAATCTTGTCACGACATCTTGTCACGACAACTTTATCCACTAATTGATCAAAGATTAGAAAAAAGAAAAAAGAAAAAACGAACATAAACCCTCAAATTACAAGTAAAACTTGAATGATGCTAAATAATTTCCCGAATTTCGCTTTAATTTAATTTAATCAAGATTTAACATCATGTAACATATGCAAATTTTAATATTAAAAAGTAATTTAACGGTTAAATATGCGCCATACTTCAAAGGCTATGACATACTTACTAAAATTTGACATACTTATCAATGTTTAATATACTTATCAAAGCTTGACACATTTGACTTATTTAAATAACTAACGTTATTTAGGTTATTTAAGTATTAATGTATGCTATAGATTTTGAAATAACACTCCTTTTAATACTATAAAATATTTTAAAAATTTCGAAATATTCGTTTAACTTAAACCGAGTATTCTCGAATTTTCTCGAATGTAAATCAAAAATATGCTAAATGATTGGTTTAGTCACTGAATATTTGACAGACTGCAACCTCATTCAGACAATATCATCAAGAATCAAGGACATTTGCTGAGATTCATTTTGGTAGAGGACAAGAAGAACGGACAGAAAGGTTAGGTCGAGGTTGAATGTATACTGTAAATGGTATTTTTGATTACCTGATGAATTTGAAATTCTCATCAATGTATTTCTTGAAACAAAAAAAAAAAAAGGAATTAGAGTGACAATTAGCTTCTTGGGATGACTCACTCAATTTTGTATCGAAATTAATCATAAGGAAATTATTTGGAATTAAACAGAAGTAAGATAAAAAATTAGAAATGGAAATAGAAAATTCGTTCATTTGCCTTTTTTTTTTTCAATCATAATCAGACTTTATTAAGAAGGTTGTAGTAGCGATAACAATTTCCGGATAAAGAAAGGCTTGTCAAAGACAGATATGAAATTGTCACATTAGTAATATTTTAGGAATGAATGCTGACAGTAATATATGAAGGAATAAGTAGGCCTGAAGTATTAAACATTCACTGGGCCATAATTATTTCTTGGCCCTTTATCAACTGCAATTACCAATATTAGACAAAAAAAAAAAACGAAAAAAACAACAACGAAACAAACTTTGTAATATCAAATATTTGAATATTTGAATTATTAATTATCAATGATATGCATGGGATCAATTTTAATGATAAAATGATAAATGTCCCATTGCTAAGTTTGATAATTTTAGCTATTAATTAATGAAAAGATGAAATTTTTGCAATTATCAAAATTATTTTCTTTTTTTTCTTACAATTCTTCTTGATATTTTGAAATAATATTAAAAAAGTTAACATTAGGAGAAATCGATGTTTGCATTGTTTAAAATGTTAAAGAAGCTTAAGTATTAAGTATTAGCTAAAACTTATTCATAGGAATATTTTAAAGCTTTAAGAGCTTTAAGACTTTTTAAATCACAATTGTTTGCTAACAAAATGGCAGTTCATAGCGAACACTTTTTTTTTGGACAATAAAATTGGTCAAACTTTGAAATTAAAAAAAAGTTAAATATTGAATATTTTTTGAAGGTGAAAAAAAAGAAAAATTAGCGATACAATAAGATGACAAAAAAA